AGGTGGCGACTGCGCGGGAACATCAATAACTTTCTCCTCAGAATTACAATTCGGCATTATGACCCCATTCCTGAAAGCTTATTCCGACCCAGATGGAGCGCTGATGCGCCATAGGCCCATCAGCCCACCAGGCACAGCCAAAAAATGCATTTTTTATCCCCTACGATCTGTCGGAATGAAGATGCGCCAAAATCATCTCTCCACGACGTCATCTTAAGAATAATTTGAGATAATATTACTGCGGGTATGACCATACCAGCACTAGTGCTTCAGATCCCATTAGAACTCCACAGTTAAGCGTGCTTGGGCGAGAGTAGTATAGCGATGGATGACCTCCTGGGAAGTCCTTGTGTTGCACCATTTTTTTTTAACCAGCCAACTCTTTTTTTTTTTTCTAGCTCTTCGCCATGGCCTACGAACCCTTGGCAGTGTTGGCTCGCCGCGCATCAAGAGATGAAACCCGCATCCTGGGACCCGTGAAGGCATCCGGCGGGTCTTAAGTGGAGTCCGTGCGGGAATATCAATAACTTTTTGCCAAGGATTTCGATTCAGCGTTATGACCCCATTCCAGCAAGTTTTTTTCGAGCCGGACGGATCGCCGATAAGCCATAGGCCCATCAGACGGCCATGTGAAGACAAAAAAATGCATTTTTGATCCTCTACAATCTTTCCTAATGAAGATGCATCAAAATCATCTCTCCATGGCATCAGCTTAAGAATAATTTGAGGCCAAATTACTACGGGTGCGATCGTACCAGCACTAGTGCACCGGATCCCATCAGATTTCCATAGTTAAGCATGCTTGTGTAAGAGTAGTACTAGGATGGGTGACCTCCTGGGAAGACCTCATGTTGGACCCTTTTTTTTTAACCAGTAATCTCTTTTTTTTTTCTAGCTCTTCGCCGCGGCCTACGAACCCGTGGCGGTGTTGGCTCGCCGCGCATCGAGCGATGAAACCCGTATCGTGGGACCCATGAAGGCATCCGGCGGATCCTATGTGGCGACCGCGCTAGAACATCAATAACTTTCTGCCCAGGATACCGATTTAGCATTATGATCCCATTCCGGAAAGCTTTTTCCGAGCCAGACGGAGCGTCGATGCACCATAGGCCCATCGGCCCACAAGGCGCAGCCAAAAAAATGCATTTTTGATCCCCTACGATCTGTCGAAATGAAGATGAGTCAAAATAATCTCTCTACGGTGTCAGCTTAAGAATAATTTGAGACAATATTACTACGGGTGCGACCATACTAGCACTAGAGCACCGGATGCCATCTGATCTCCGTAGTTAGGCGTGCTTAGGCAAGAGTAGTACTGGGATGGGTGACCTCCTGGGAAGTCCTAGTGTTGCACCCTATTTTTTTGAACCAGCCATCTCTTTTTTATTCTAGCTCTTTGCCACGGCCTATGAACCCTTGGCGGTGTTGGCTTGCCGTGCATCGAGCGATGAAACCCGCATCGTGGGACCCGTAAAGGCATCCGCGGGTCCTATGTGGCGACTGCAAGGGAACATCAAAAAATTTCAGCCCATGATTCTGATTCAGCAATATGACCATATTTCGGAAAGCTTATTTCGAGCCGGACCGAGTGTCGATGTGCCATAAGCCCATCGGCCGGCCATGCACAGCAAAAAAAAGCATTTTTGATCCCCTACGGTCCGTCGGAATGAAGATGCGTCAAAATCATCTCTCCACGGTGTCAGCATAAGAATAATTTGAGACCTTATTACTACGAGTGCGACCATACCAGCACTAGTGCTCCGGATCAAATCAGAACTTCGCAGTTAAGCGTGCTTTGGCTAGAGTAGTACTGGGATGGGTGACCTTCTGGGAAGTCCTCATGTTGCACCCTTTTCTTTTAACCAACCATCTCTTTTTTTTTCTAGCTCCTCGCCATGGCCTACGAACCCTTGGCGGTGTTGGCTCGCCATGCATCGAGCAATGAAACCTGCATCGTGGGACCCGTGAAGGCATCTGGCGGGTCCTATGTGGCGACCGCGCGGGAACATCAATAACTTTCAGCCCAGGATTCCGATTCGGCAATACAATCACTTTCCAGAAAGCTTGTTCCAAGCCGGACCGAGAGTAGATTTGCCATAGGCCCATCGGCCGGCCATACATAGCAAAAAATGCATTTTTTATCCCCTACGATCCGTCAGAATGAAGATGCGTCAAAATCATCTATCTACTGTGTTAGCTTAAGGATAATTTGAGACCATATTATTACAGGTGCGACCATCCCAGCACTAGTGCTCTGAATCCCATCAGAACTTCACAGTTAAGTGTGCATGGGTGAGAGTAGTACTGGGATGGGTGACCTCCTGGGAATTCCTTGTGTTGCTCCTTTTTTTTTGACCAGCCATCTCTTTTTTTTTCTAGCTCTTGGCCATGGCCTATGAACCCTTGGCGGTGTTTGCTCGCCACTCATCAAGCGATGAAACCCGCATCGTGGGCCCGGGAAGGCATCAGCAATTGATTTGATGAGCCCTTGATTTGGACTCATTTGGGTTCGGATTGGGTGGATCTTGGATGTCGTTGGTTTGTATTCCCGAGACGCTCAGTTCGACTGGTAAGTTTGCTGAAATCGGAGTTTGGTGGTCTCCAAATTAATTTTTGAAGTTTCCAAACTTGATTTGCCATCCGAGATTCGTGCCCCGATTAAGATAATTTGTGACGACGTATCAAGATATTATAACATATACCTTGTGCAGTCAAAATGTTAATCGGAGCTATTGAATTCGAATTCAATTTGAGTTAATTTTTGATTTGATTAGTGGTTGAATTTGAGCCCAATAATATATCAATTTGATCGAAGAATAAATTAGATTGAGCTGATCACATCAACGAAATCAAAAATCGAGGCTGATTATTGAGTGATAGGTTCGGAGTCGATTGCTTACGTCAATAGGTATCCACTAAGGGAAATCCTATGGTGAACGTCTATTTTCAGGCTATGAAAGACCTAGGTGCTAGAATTGACATCGGGGAAATAACCGAATAAATGAGGTCAACAGCGCATGGTTGGCTGATGGGCCAATTGCCCATCGACGCTCGTCCCGGCTCGGAAATAAGCTTTTTCGAATGGAGTCATTTTGACCGAATTGGATTTCTGGCAAAAAGTATGGATATTCCACCGGTCCGCCACATAGACCATCCGA